CTTAATCAATACAATTCTTCTAGCATGGTATCAGAGCCACTCTAAGGATTAACCTCCAATGGCGTCATCCCCTTCCCCTCCACCTTCTCCTACAAATTCAGTCACCCCATCAAATCCTTTTACTTCAAATCCCACTCCTAACCCTCCTCAACAAAATGTTTCTCACACTATTTCTGTTAAACTCACCCCTAATAATTACCTACTGTGGAAACTCCAACTGGTTCCTTACCTCCGTGGCCAAAGACTATATCAGTTTGTCGATGGCTCCTTTCCTGCCCCTGAACCTTTGTTGGACAAATCTACTCCTAATCCTGCCTATGAATCTTGGTTACAGCAGGATCAACTGGTTATGTCAGTCCTCATTTCATCTCTTTCCGAGCCTCTTATGGCACAGGTTGTTGGTTGTGCTTCAGCTTGTGATGTGTGGCAATCACTTAAGTCTACATATGCTTCAGCATCTCAAGCTCGTCTTCTCCAAACTCAGTTTCAGTTGGCCTCACTCAAGAAAGGTGCAGACTCAATATCTGAGTATTATCGCAAAGCTAAAACATTGGCTGATACAATGTCAGCTGCCGGACGACCTCTGCCTCCATCAGAGTTTGTTCCTTATCTTCTGGCTGGTCTAGGACCTGATTACGATCCTCTTGTTCCATCAATCACTACCAGACTTGAACCAATCACTCCCGAGGAATTGCTGGGTCATCTCCTTGCTCATGAAGCACGACTCCAGCATCACTCTCATACAAGCCTTCTCTCCAACGAGGTTTCAGCCAACTATACTGCCAAACAACACTTTGCACAACGTGGTAGTCGAGGTCTAAACCGTGGTGGACGTTACCAATACAGAGGTCGTGGTGGTCGCGGTAATCGTAGTGCCCGTGGTCCATCGCTAGGTAACAATGAAACTGGCTCCACCACTCGCATTGTTTGCCAGGTTTGCAATCGACAAGGGCATAGTGCTCTCACTTGCCTCTATAGGTTCAATTAAGCCTATACAAACCCTGCTCCTATTGCTGCACATTATTCTTCTGTCAACTATGTCCTAGATTCCGCTTGGTATCCGGATACTGCTGCAACAAATCATGTAACCAGTGATCTCTCCAACTTGAACCTTCACGCAGCTGATTATCACGGTGAGGAAAAACTGCGTGTTGGTGATGGAAGTGCTATCCCTATTTCCCATTCTGGTTCAGCTTCTCTCTCTTCTCCAACTACCACTTTTCTTCTTAATGATATATTATGCGTTCTTTCATTCCAAAAGAATCTCATTTCCGTCCAACAATTTTGCACTGATAATAATGCATTTTTTGAATTTTTCTCTGATTCTTTTTGTGTCAAGGATTGCCATTCGGGGAAGATCCTCCTTCGCGGAACGGTCAATAATGGCCTCTACTCCTTCACTCCATTGTCGCCTTCGGCTCTCACAACTGTTATCTCCGTTCCCACATGGCATTCACGGCTTGGACATGCCTCCCTGAAACTTGTCCGTTCTATCTTGCAGCAGCATAAGCTCTCTTTTGATCCTTCAATAGCATCTCCCTTTTGTGATGCATGTGCTAAGGCTAAATCCCATCATCAACCCGCGCTTCCAAGGCTTCAAAAATCTACTGAACCTCTGCAATTAATTTTCTCTGATTTATGGGGACCTTCCCCACATGTATCTCAAGATGGTTATCGTTATTATATTAGCTTTGTTGACGACTACACTCGTTATACTTGGTTGTTTCCCTTGCAATCTAAATCTCAAGCTTTCTCTGTGTTCATTAAATTTAAGAGTCTTGTTGAACTTCAATATCAAGCTTCTATCAAACAATTTCAATCGGATTGGGGGGGTGAGTTCAGGCCCTTCTCTCAGTTTCTCGCTTCTCATGGAATTCTCCACCGAATTACTTGCCCGCACAATCATACTCAAAATGGAATTGTAGAGCGAAAACACAGACATATCGTCGATATCGGATTAGCTCTCCTAGCACATGCATCTATACCACTTATCTTCTGGCCTCAAGCTTTCAAGCATGCAATCTATCTAATCAATATTTTACCTTCAGCCTCACTAAACAATCACTCACCACATTTCTTGCTCAACAACAAACATCCAGATTATAAATCTTTACGGACTTTCGGCTGTGCTTGTTGGCCTTTCACCGCTCCTTACAATTCTCCAAAGTTCAACTATCGATCAGTTGAGTGTGTCTTTTTGGGTCTCAGTCCAGGACATAAAGGATACACTTGTTATCACATACCAACAGGCCGTGTCTACACATCCATTGATGTTAGGTTCAACGAGTGTTCATTTCCTTTTAAAAATTCTAGCACTCCACGATTCCGGTCCAAGCCTACTTATGTCATTCTTCCATCTCTCCAGCAATCATCATCCTCACAACCCCCTAGACAATCAAATTTACCTTCCATTTTAGGCCCTCCTCCCACTCCTCTAAATCCATCACCTTTATCTTCTCCTGCTCAATCATCATCAACGCAGTCCTCTTCCATGCATGTTACTCAGCCACCTGCACTCTCAATGGTAACAAGGTCTCGAACAGGTTCTACTCGACCACGGCAATTCACGGATGGTACCATAAGGTGGCCTCCACCAAAAGCCTTTTTCTGTGACAAGTCTGATGTTCCCGAAAGTCCTACCTCTTACAGTGTTGCTCAAAAATACTCAGAATGGCGAGATGCAATGTCAAAAGAATTTCATGCTTTAATTGCTAACAATACTTGGTCATTGGTTCCTTCTTCCCAGGCCTCAAACGTTGTAACCTGCAAATGGGTTTTTCGAACAAAGCGGTTGGCTAATGGTGCTATTGAAAGATGAAAAGCCCGCCTTGTCGCCAAGGGATTTCTTCAACATTCCGGTATTGATTTTGAGGAAACATTCAGCCCAGTCGTAAAGGCTACCACTGTCCGTTTAGTTCTCGCTCTGGCTATTTCTCATCACTGGAATATTCAACAGTTTGATGTCCAAAATGCATTCTTGCATGGGCCACTACATGAAACGGTGTTCATGTCTCAACCGCCCGGTTTCACTCATCCCAAATTTCCCTCTCACGTTTGCAGGTTACATATGGCCATCTATGGCCTTCGACAATCACCAAGGGCTTGGTACTCCAAATTGAGCTCACGATTGGTTGATCTTGGTTTTTGCATCTCTTCGGCAGATCCATCTCTTTTCATACAGTCATCAAAGACTTGCACCACTTTTGTTCTGGTATATGTGGACGATCTTCTCATCACTGGTTGCTCCTCTTCGTATATTTCAGACTTGATCACTGCCTTACGGGTTGATTTTCCTATCACTGATCTTGGCCGTTTGCATTATTTTCTGGGTATTGAAGCTACATTCAACTCTAGTGGTCTGCTTCTAACACAACAAAAATACATTACAGATCTTCTTCTGCGAACCAACATGCATCTGGCAAAACCAGTCAAAACGCCGATGTCTACCACAGAAAAATTAAGTGCTTTTCATGGTAACCCGTTTGATAATCCAACTCTCTATAGAAGCACAGTTGGTTCATTGCAATATCTATCTTTTACTCGGCCAGACCCAGCCTTTGCAGTGAACAAAGTTTGTCAATTTATGCATTCTCCCCGTATCCCCCATTGGCAGGCAGTAAAGCGTATTCTTCGCTACCTCAAACACACCTCATCACTTGGTCTGCAATTGACACCGTCTTCTAGCCTCAGTATCACTGCCTTTTCCGACGCCGATTGGGCAGGTTGCCCTGATGATCGACGCTCTACCAGTGGGTATTGTGTGTTCCTCGGCAAAAATTTAATTTCTTGGTCATCCAGAAAACAACCAACAATCGCAAGATCCTCCACTGAAGCAGAATTCAAAGCTGTTGCAAATACCACAGCTGAAGTAATCTGGATTCAAAACTTGTGCCGTAACTTACATGTGAATCTCCCTCAAGCTCCACTGATCTACTGTGACAATATGAGTACTATCTACTTGTCATCAAATCCAGTTTTTCACGCACGTACAAAACATGTTGAAATAGATTTTCACTTTGTTCGAAATTGGGTCCTTAACAAATCTCTTCAGATTGCATTCATCTCTAGCCAATATCAACTTGCAGATGCTTTGACAAAACCACTTTCCTCAATCCGGTTTCTCAAATTGTGCACAAGTCTACGCCTGCAACATTTGCCGCTTGACTTGAGGGGGGATGTTAAGGGTATTATTGACTCTTCACCACCTAGTGCCAGCTCAATACTGCAGGACCACAATGCTGTTACATGACAAAGCTTCATCATCC